TATGTTATGTTGAAATGCAGCACACGCCCATCCACCCCCGCCATATTCACTTAACACGACTCGTTAGGTGAATTTACTGTTTATATTTACATCCCGCAGAGGGTGATGCAAGTGACCGCATCCAATTTAGTCTTTTCCAATAATTACCTGTTCTGACAGTAATGCCTGCTGACTGCATGACAGGTTTGGAAGAGCGGCCATGTTTACGTTTGCATTACATTTGATCACGGTCCGAGCAGCAGAGCTCCGTTTGTGTCCTGAGGGGTTTCAGACGTCACTGTTAAATCTGATGAACCATGTGAATCTTCACACATCTTTCATGTTATGTGAAACTATCGAGCAGCTGCTGTTTGTCCGGTGGAAGGCGTGAAAACTGAGCTCAGCTATGATTGTGTGAAGTGACAAGCTGTTAGTGTGAACCTCCTCTAATGTGACAGAAAGCACGTCCACACATAAACATACTGACATTCACTTAGAGAAGGAAGGTTTGTCAAGACAAACTTTGAATGTTGGCCTGACCGTTTGAAAAAACAAACCTTCACAGTTGAGGGTTATAAGCAAGGGAAGTGAAGTTTGACAGTTTAATTTGAGACAATTTGATTTATTTCTTCTACTACTACATTTACATTACATTTAGTCATGTAGCAGATTTAGCAGAGTAAAATTGCTGTGATTTGTGTAAATTAAAAGTTTTTCTAGGCCACTTACACTACTGTTCAACTGTTTGGTGCCTGTAATTTTATTTTATTTTTTTAAAGAAATTGTACTTTTAATTAGCAAGGATGCATTAAATTGATTAAAAGTGACAGCAAAGACATTTAAAATGTTACAAAAGATTTCAATTTATTTCAGTGAATTGCTAAAAAAGTTCCGTTCATCAGAGAATCCTGAATTTTTTTTTTATCAGTTTCCACAAAAACATTAAACAGCTGTTTTCAACACTGATAATAATAAGAAATAATCAGCATCTTAGAATGATTTCTGAAGGATCACGTGACACTGAAGACTGGAGTAATGATGCTGAAAATTCAGCTTTGCATCACAGGAACATTTATAATATATTAAAATAGAACGTATAGTGATATTTATAAATATTAATATAGTGATAATATATTAATAAGTTACTAATATTAGTAATACAGTAATATAAAATAGTAATAATTCACAGCATTACTGTGTTTACTGTACTTTTGCTTAAATAAATGCATCCTTGGTGAGCAGAAGAGACTTATTTCAAAAACATTAAAACTTTTACCAAGCTCAAACCTTTGAATGATTTTTTTATTTGTTATTTTTTATTTAGTATTGCAAATATTTTGTGTAGACAAGTTGCTAGACTATGGCAGGCTACATCATTTTAAAAGTTAGAAATAGTTTCATTTCTGTCTGTAGAACTATTTAAGTGGCAAAAATATGTTAAACCTCTAAACTTGCATGATCTCAAACAAATGACACCACTGAAATGTGGAACTATTGAGGAAATTTAATTTATATGACTTTTTTATGGCATTGTAAACTCGATGGCTGAATTACAAAAAAACATGAATTCAATGAAATTCAAAATCACAAGCAAATCCTGATCTTTTTTTAATTAAAATGCATACAAAACTACATCATTAGCACACAATAAAGGAACAAAAGAGCATATTTTGGAACCAAAATTACAAACGTACAATGAGTGAAAAAGACAATTTGTTCAACAGGAGTGTGTTGTGCTTTTTAGCTCTTTCAGCATGGTTAGGCTGTGTACTTTACAAACACCACCGACTCGTGGCCTTCAGTGATATTCACTTCACTGGCAACATTTGGGTTGTGTTCCAAATCCTACTGCTGCCTACATAGGCTTATGCCTTCAAATAAGTGACTGATTTGGAACATTTCACATAGGGAGAAACCCACACAGGCATATTTACACCTCTTACTTTTTTGGAACAGATTCTGTGCTGCGTACGTAGGGAGCTCACTACACTCTTAAAAATAAAGGTTCTACAATGGTGTTTTCGCAGCAATGCATAGAAAAAAAAATTTTTTTGGGTTCCCTGAAGAAATTTTTAGTGAACACTTCTTAAAGGGGCGGTTGATCAGCTTTTTTCGAAAGCTTGATTGTGTTTATGGGGTGCAGTGTAACATGTGCTCATGCTTCGTTTTTAAAAAACGCATTATTTTCACATATTTTACCTTTATTCTACACCACTGTTTCCATTATCGTCAAAACGGTCTGTTGAGTTCCTGGTTTTATGAAGCCCCTCCCTCAGAAATACGCGAAAGGCTCTGATTGGTTACCGGGCTCGGTGTGTTTGTGATTCACTAACCGCCTAGTACACGTTGTCCGGAAACGTCACGCCCCCTTACCATTACGGGTAGTTGCATGTTCCCGGGGGGCGGGGCTTATGTAAACATCTGGGTTAGTGATGTCACAATCCCAGGAAGAAGCTCGTTGTAGTCCCTACCAGCTGTTTTTTGTAGTCCTTAAACAGCAATTTCTTTAAAAGAAAAATCTCCCTTTGCATTGAACTCTGAGCGTCGTAACTTTGCAGACGTTGTTTATGCTCTAACAGCAACATTACACACTAACTAAAGTTGAAAAAGTGAAATCATAATCAACCACCCCTTTAAAAGAACCATTTTTTTCCTACTTGTCAAGACCATTTTAATAATCTAAAGAATGTTTTCCTCTTTGGAATGTTTCCATGGATGTTAAAGATTCTTCATGGAACCTTCAATGCCAATAAATAACCTTTATTTTCAAAAGTTAGGTTTTGGAACAGAACCTTGATGTCAATAGAATGTTCGACGCAACACACAATCAGTATTGATACAGTGGAAATAAATAGGTATGTTTTTGGTCTTATTTTGGGTCAGCAAATCTTAATTTAGCTTGATTTGGATTCTTGATGCATCTCAATCATAATCAACAGTCACAACGAACTCTTTGGAGAAAATACAGCTGTTACACTGACAGAATTTGATATCCACACACATTAACAGATCCAGACCGAGGCACTGAGAGAGAATCATCATACGACACAGAAGCAAAAAGTTTACCCAGGGTTTCTATTACCCAGAAGTCCTTGCAGGAGAGAACCGACTCCTGCTTGTAACTAGACCAGCTCACATTTTGAATCCATCTTTCCCGTAGCCTGCAGCTTGGGGCGATAATCAAGCAGAGGCACAATGGGAAGGAAAATAACCGCCCACATAAACGCATCAAAGCGGCCGTGAATCAAGCTGAACACGGCCACTTCTGCTTGGATAACAAGGCCTGAAGGATGACCAATGATTGCGAAAGGAGATACGTCTCTCTTCATCCATCTTTCTAGCTGTTTCCTTTGCTCTTTTGGGGCTCTCGGCCCTCAGGTGATGGCAGCAGGTGTGAGCATGGGAAAAACCTCTGGGTTATGCGCTGAAATATTCACTTACACCTGTTACGCGGATGTATGTGTGTGTGTGTGTCATGGCCACTTTACCCTCCTTGTATGAGCTTGTGCATGGTTTTGTTATTCAAATAATCACGGGCGATCTCCTTTCAAACGTGCCCAATTATTGTCTCCGATTTCAGTCATTCCAAGAACAAGGTAGGAAAAATAGACACATAATGTAGGTGCTTAGAGCAACATATTTTTCACACTTTAGAGACGTGGAATGACAACAGGTGATTGTTGGACTCTTTGGCTTGAGATAGTTGAGGCCTTTCAGGCACATGACTAAATATCACGTGAAATTCAATCTGGTAAGAATGTCTCCATTATGTGGTTTAACAAGGACATATAACCTCTTAAATAAATGTTTTAGTGCATTAAAGCTGCATTGGAAAACATAGGCATTACATTAAAACTTTTGTATAATTTAGAAAGAATATATTACAGTAGCACAACTTCCAATTTTATATTAAAACAAAGAAATCAAAAGATTGAAAAAAGAAAAAAAAAAAAAACATTGTTATTGAAATGTCAACAAATCAACAAAAAAAAAAAAAAAAATACACAAACCATAAAACTGAGCTCAAATCAATAGTCTGAAGAAAGTCATGAAAAGCGATCAACACTGAGAAAAAAAAAAAATTACTCTAAAAACTATTCCAAAAAAGACAAGTCTCCACAAGTTCAAAGACGAATAAATTGTTCGTGATTTTGGCATGAAGCAAGAAAAAAAAACACCTGTCTGTCTTTGGGTTATAGACACTGTTTAACTTTTCTACAAATCGAGAACCCGCAGCTAAAGGGTGAATCTCACGAAAGCACATCCAGATCACATTTCACCCTAAAATCAAAGCAAAAAATATTTTTGCATAATGAAAATGATGCCTATGTTTATGTAAATTCAGATGATTTGCAAATGAAATATATCATTTTTTTTTTTTTACATTACAGTAATGAGAACAATTTTTTGCATTACAATAATAAGAACGTAAGGGTCAAATGTGCTTCATTTTGATTAAAACAATGTCACAATGCAAATGCAAAAATGAATGGTTCTAAAAAATAAAACTGAGCATCATTTTCTTCATGCAAAATATAATTTCTCATTTCTCATTAAATATGACCTGAATATGTTCCTGACAGGTTTTGTGATATTCACCCTAAAATCCGTTTCAATGAAAAACCATTGACATAACATCTCACAAATCTCCACACTTGTATTATATGATCACATCTCACCATTTCAAGACTATTTCAGCAAGTTTGGAAAGTACCTGAAACACTTGGGTAGCATCTTTGTTTATCATCATATTTACAGTCCCACAGTCCTGCAGCTCTGTGAAGCTCTTTCATACTGTCTGCACGACACGTTTTCGTGGATGCAAAGCACTCTGGGAATTACAGCGTTCAGGCAGATTGGTTTGTAAGGCTGGATAAATTGGCTTTTTTCAGATACAGGCTCATCAGAATATGTCTTTTCTTTGGTTTTTCAGTTTTTTTAGTAAGAAAAGTTGCTGATATATTACTATGGGATGCCTTTTCTTAATTATAATCTTTCTATGTACACCTCATTTTCCTGTGAGACTTCTGTCCTCCTTTAGTTTTGATCAGCGGAGGCCATTTCTGTCCTGTATGGAGCGCCCAGACTCATTTCTGGTCATCGGTTCACTTTGGTGGTCTTAGAAGCAATTGACATGTCATAGAAGGATGAAGAAACAAAAACGATCAAACATGCAAGACTTTTCACCTCTACTCTAAACTTTGACTTCTTCTCTCAGTCTTTCTGCACACGTTTTCTCAATAAGGCCTCCAGACAGACTCGTCTATGCGTGTGGACGCACTCATCGCTGTGGGCGAGTTGCTGTGGCTGCCGTCGGCATCCACGCCGTCGCTCTGGTTGCCAAGGCTGGCGTTGAGCAGGCTGTTGTTTCCGCCCCCGGTGCCTCCGGTTCCACCCGCCGCGGTACAGGACGTCAGCATGCGGGTGGGTGACCTGTCGCCTCCTGATCCGGTGCCGCCGGTCGGAACCATGGAGAACTGGTAGGAGCCGGATCCGGTGCCGTAGTACAGGTGGTACGGCGAGGAGTTGGTCTGGAAGTGGGAGTTCTGGTTCTGGTTGCCGGGGTATGGAGGTGGCAGGTAGGTGTGGTAGCGGCTGGAGGTGGGCATCCCGGCCACGCTGAGACCACCGATTCCAGTGCTGGACGGGTTGGCAGAGTAAGTGAAGGGACCCGGATAATGCATGTGTGAATCTGAGAATCGAGGAGCCGTTAATGGAGACAGAGATGGGAAGGACGTCCTCTGAGGGAACAGATCCGTACCTGGACGAGAAAGATAAAGAAAGTGTCATTTTAACATTTAAACAACAAAAAGATAACAGAATGCAAGATTCCATGCTTATTCCATGATTACTAAATGTTTAAATTTTTAAAGTGCCCCTATTATGGATTTTTGAAAATGACTTTTCATGCAGTGTGTAACAGCTCTAAGTGAATGAAAACATCCTGCAAAGTTTTCAATCTGAAAGTGCACCGTCTATAAAGTTATTGTCTCTCAAAAGAAAGAGTCGACTCTGAATCATTGAAACGAGTCGTTTTTAAAACGAATCCCAAGTCGTTTCATGTTGAATTCAACATGTAACATTAGCATATTGCCCGCCCACTTGTTGGTCTTTTAGCGTTGCTCTGAATGAAAATGCAAATTCATTCTTTGCCACTAGGTGCTGCTTTAAAATAGCTGTTTCCCCGGTAACGCTGTACACAAAGCAGCACTGCGCTCACAAACGCTGCTTTATCAGGCATTACAGACACGATGACATGAAAATGAGACCAATCGGACCAATCACTGCAGATTAGCGTCACGCAAAGGAGGGGTTTGGAAAAATGAATCGTTGAGCGAATCGTTTGGGAGTCGTTGAGCAAGTAAGGTAAAAATAAATGCATATTATAAAACAATGAAAGTGTTTTTTGACCTTGCATGCATGTCAACCTGTTGTTGTGGACTCCCAAAACCAAAATATGAACCTTTCATTACCCATAATAGGGGCACTTTAATAATTTTTTTAATATTCAGACTAGGACTGAATTAAGAAATAAAATATAGATTATTTACAAAATAAAATATATAATATATATTTTTTAACTTAATAAGAACAAGACTTATAGTATTAAGAATTTGAACAATATATATATATATATATATATCTATATATACACACACACAACAAAAAGAGTAATATGTACACCAAATTCTACATATTTTGGCCAAAGAATTTTCATGTTTTCCCATGATTACTAAATAGTTACATTTTTTTATTTAATTTAAAATATGTTTAAATTAAAATATATATATATATTTTTAAATTTAGACCAAGATTGAATTAAATTTAAAAATAAAATAGAACCCTATTGACAATGATCTTGAACCACCTAGTGTCTTTTGTGAACTTCACATGATCGCTTGATAAACGGTAAAAGTGAAAGCAGTCACTGGAAGCGTAATGTAAAGAGGCTGGGAGGAAGAAGATGATGAAGACTGGTATGCTCTGACGTCTGGAGTTTCATTTAGTGTTCACATCTCGTGCGTCACGACTTTACGAACAGGTGTAAGAGAAACGTCTGTGCACCTGCACACAAGCACAAACTGCTGCCAGTTAGTGCTGTTTTCTGGCTTGATTTTTCTGCTTATTGCCCATACGAGCAGGGGCTGCTGGGATACTGGAGCAGGCTTTGGCATGCCAGCGCCTGAGGGAGGAGAATGCCGTCTGTGCGTGCCACTGACTCGTTTAAAACGCTCTCCCCCCGTTTGTCTGGGGCACTGGGTCCATTTGCAAACAGAAACAGAGAAAGAAAGAAAAACATACAGTTCCATTTCAATTTCCTCAGACCATGCTCTCTCGCTCTTTCTCTCAGAGGGGTGTTGACTTTCTCTTTCTCCCGTTTGGGGGGCCAGAATCTGATTTGCACTAAGGAGAATTCAAGATTTCAGCTGCCACTGATTTAACTGAAATGGCCACAAATTCCTGCCAGTCTCTACAGTTTTACTCGTGCTCACACACACACACACAGACACACACACACCATACAAGATTAATTACTAAAAGCGGAAATCTGACAAATGAGTTGAGAAACAGCTGCAAACCAGATATAACACCCAAACTGTAGACGTTGTTTACCATCATTACCCTCGCAGACACACATTCACTCAGACTCAGCGTCTCCCTCTAGTGCCTGACAGGATACTAACAACAAGAACGTTTCCAGAACATGGGTCTTCAACCTTTTCAGAGCCCTTGGTGGATAGAAACATATTGTTATTGTTATTATTAAAAAAGAGAGTTTAATTTTAAACCTGGCTGATAATAACTTAATGTTGTTTACATCATAAAAAACACATTACTGAGACCTTTTTTCGAAGACCAGTCCTCTAGAGAGTTACTAGTTTGCTGTGTTTCTCAGCATAACCACTTCACACATGATCTACATTAGTTTCAGTGGAAAAACTCTTTAAAAACTAAGAAAAAAAAGAGCAGGAAACTATGTGGTATAACCCATAATTATGTGACATTTTCCCCTTTTAAAAAATAACGGTTTGATGTTTCTGACAACATATTTAAGGGACTAAATTCCCTTTTATTAACCAAAGGATTTATATAGAGGTAGATTTTTTCTTACACTCAGTATTTTGTTCATTATGTTTACATTTACATTGACCTTCTTACAGTATGTGTTGTATTAACATCAATATTACCATTAAAGGGTTAGTTCACCCAAAAATGAAAATTAGGCTGTGTTTTATTCACCCCCGAGGCATCCTAGGTGTATATGACTTTCTTCTTTCAGACGAATCCAGTCGGAGTTATATTAAAATTGTCCTGGCTATTCCAAGCTCTATCATTGCAGTCAGCGGGTGTTGCAGTGCTTCAGTCCAAAAGAAGTTAAATAAAAAGCGCCCATCCATAAAAAAAGTGTCTCACACGGCTCCGGGGGGTGAACAAAGGCCTCCTGTAGCGAATCGATGCGTTTTGTAAGAAAAAAACCTCAAGAACACCGACCTCATACGTCATCCTCCCGGAACTGCTTCCGTTTACAACAGTGAGCGCAAGCTAGATTAAATTGATTATTACTTTTTAAATATGGTTATTTTTCTTACAAAAATGCATCGATTCGCTACAGGAGGCCTTTGTTCACCCCCCCCCGGAGCCGTGTGAGACACTTTTTTTTATGGATTGGCGCTTTTTATTTCACTTCTTTTGGACTGAAGCACTGCAACACCCACTGACTGCAATGATAGAGCTTGGAATAGCCAGGACAATTTTTAATATAACTCCGACTGGATTCGTCTGAAAGAAGAAAGTCATATACACCTAGGATGCCTCGGGGGTGAGTAAAACACAGCCTAATTTTCATTTTTGGGTGAACTAACCCTTTAATAGCAATGTTAATGTTATTAAACTTGCTAATATTATTAAACTCTATTATTGGGAAAATAACAAATTTCTACAGAAAAACATTAATATTAATTGCATTATTAATTAACAAGTATTCATAAAAATAAAAATGTCTGCATAGTATTAATATTTAATATTAATATATTACAAAATGGTTTGATGTTTCTTGACGACATATTTTTAGCCACCAAGTTTTTGTATTATGTCTCACATTTGCAGTGTCATGCTAAATATACATATGGATATTAATAAAAATTGTTATGGGGAAAATAACAGACATTTCTAAGGAACAATATTAAATATTAATAAATATTAGAAATAAATTATTATTAATAAAAAATGCTAAATTGGAAAAAATCTGCAGAAACAATATTTATATGAATGGTATTTCTAATATTTTAATGCTATTATTAATATTAATAACATCGGTATAAGGAAAATAACAGACATTTAAAAAATATATATTATAAATAAATTCATATTAATTAAAAATGCTTAATAGGACAAGTTCTGCAGAAACAATATTATTAATTTTAATGCAAATAATAAAAAAAAATGTAAGGGACATTTGGCCATGATGACTACTGAGGGGAAAAACCTCCTTCTATGGCAGTTCAGGCCCTGAGGTGGGAAAATCGCTACTTTAAAGTTCAGCAGTAATGTTTCCAAATGAAAATAAATGGAAAAAAGTAATATTCTCCTGCAAATGGCCCCTGTCAAACGCTGTTATCCTTCCCCATTGTGTTGTCACCCATCACAGCGATCAGTTCAGTTCGCCGTGTTCCACTAGCCCACAGTCATGCGTGTAACCCGGCTCACTACAGAGGTTTGCTTCATTTGACTGCTGTAGAAACTGATTTTGTTTGTTAACAGAAGAGCAAGCAGTAGCTAGTCGGCAGGAATTGTGCGTGTTTGTGTGTGGGATCAGGGTTCTGGTGAGGATGCAAATCTCGGCCCTCACCTGTAAAATGGCAATGCAAAAACAGATGGATTACACCTGGACCAGGCAAATCATGTGGCCAGGAGAAAGAAAGACATGGAGACATAAAGACTGAAATATATAATTGATACTCTATATAATCTAATCAAATCATGTATATTTGCTTTAGAATGTAGGATATCGAAAATACCACATATCCAACAATCATGCAATGACGTGGATCCCAGACTTCTGAGTTTCTACTATGTGGTTTTATGCTCAACTGGTGACACAAACCCACAGGAACCAACCAAACAATCATTACATGTAACTCAACAATGCCATACACAGAGGCCTCAAACTATTCTTTTTAACCAACTGGTGTTGCACAATAAGTATGAACATGTTCCACTAACGTTTGACAACCATAATTTGTCCGAAACATCTACAGTTTAAATAGTATATCTATTATTTTTTTTGTTTTTAACCCAGCAACATGCATTTTGTGAAATACTTTGCTTGTAAATAATTAAAAAATGTATATCTATTATATGTTCATATATAAACTTAGCTTCAAGACACTGATTTCAATAAAACTGCTTTAAACCAATTTGCACTGTACTTACTTGACTTAAAAAATATAGCCTATATATTTATAAAGAATGATAGCACAAACACACTTTGAAAGCAAGATATTTCACAAAAAAGAATGCTAATGGGTTAAAAAAACAATAGACCATTCAAAATGTTGTTGTTTGAACAATTCATGGTTGCAATCTCATATATTTATAGCCTATTTTTCCAGATGATAAACCGATGGTTTTACAAGCAGGCAGAAAACTGGAGCAGGGCTGAAATGGCTAAATGTTTGCACTGGATGTTGATGAATGATAACTGAAGGTAATGGCATATCGCTCCAACAGGCAGAGAACCTGAGACGCAGGCAAACATGTAGATCTTGTGTGTTTATGTTAGAGCTGTAGTCCATAAGACAACACGGCACGTCGCATGCAAACTAGCTCATCTCCGACATGTGCTGCGCCGCCATCTCATACATCAGCACGGCTCAGGTTACCATTCACAAACATCTGATACTGTACTGGAGATTTACAAATCAGGTCGTTGATTCAGGACCTGGATCACAATGAGATGCATTTGTGAATAATTCAGGAATGCCTTTTTTTCTCCAGTGAGGAATTTTGACCTTACTGACTCTAAAATCCATTTGTTGAAACGACTGCATTATTATTGATCCAAAAATCACAATTATTAAGCTGCTTTTGCCGTTCTAGGATGTTGAAAGGAATCAATATTCAGTTCTTTTGGAAGCAATTATTATGAAATAGAAGAACTGTTGGATCTCATTATTCCTGTAGGCGTTTCTGATCATTGCAGTTCAGAGCGGTGAGTCAACATTAAACTCACGCAAGTCTGCAGCACAGAACACATGCTATTTGAACCCACAGCAAAAATGAGATCTATTTAATAGCTCAGTTGTTTCTTATGGAGAGCAATGGAGAGCAAAATGAAACTCTCAGACTCCTCAGATGTTTCTCCTGAGAAAAACACCTCAATAATCTCCAAAGTTTCAGATGAGTTCTGCACATAAATGCAAACATTTTTCATCAAGTTCTTCGAAGCCCAAATGATCTGAGCTATTTTTTAAGAGAAACATCTGAGACAAAATTGATACTTAAAGGAATAGTTGACCCAAAAATGAAAATTCTGTCATCATTTACTCACCCTCACGTTATTCTAAACCAGTATGCATTTCTTTCCTATGTGGAACGCAAAAGAAGAGGTAACCCAACAGTTTTGGGTCCCATTGACTTCTACAGTAATTTTTGTGCATACTGTGTAAGTCAATGGGACCTGAAAGGGTTTGGGTTATTCAAAAAATATTATTTTGTGTTCCACAGAAGAAAGACATGAGGGTGAGTGAATGATGAATTAAAGGCGTGGTTCAGTGGTTTTTTTCTAGGCTTGATTATGTTTATGGGGTGCAGTCTAACATGTGTTAAAGCTTCGTTTTTTAAAAAACGCATTATTTTTCACATAATTTACCTTTATTCCACACCGCTCTGTCCCTTTTCTGAGAAACACGCTGATCATTTCCTTCTTTTATGAAGCGCCTCCCTCAGAAATAGGCGATGGGCTCTGATTGGTTAGCTAGCCCAGTG